AGATCCCTCCGGAGAAGTCTGCGCTCAATGGACTGAGTCAAACTGCCTTTTTCCTGCGATTCAGAGGGAGCTGAACGCAGTGTTCCCTGAAGTCTGCTGCAACAGAGACAGAGAAGAGCTAACCCAGCTCTGCTAACCTAAATCTTAGTGATGGTGAGATGAAGCCTCATGAGGCATTGAACCATTTGGCCAAATTGCTTCAATGATCCCCACAGTTCATGAGGCTCCATGTGAACATGTTGCCACCTACCTTACCCCCACCTTATCCAGCTGACAGCAACAGCAACCCAACATTTTGGCCCCTCCTCCAAATGAATCACGCCTCGACACGTGCTTCGGGGAAACGCCCCCTCTATTACTGGACACCTTATTAGGCCTTATTAGAAGCCGCCAGACCCGTAGAAGCTGGAGAGGAGTAGCACAGAGGAGCTGCTGTTAGAGGCTGCAGCTACAAGCTAACCAAAATAGATAAATGGGATGCGTTCTGTGCTACCGTGAGTTTTAAAATTAATTCCCTTCAAAGTCACCTCTTATTATGCATCAGATTGATCAAAATCTCTTTGAGCTGCTGTTGGACGAAGGGACTGGACTGAAGAGGTGGCCTGCAGAGAACAGGACCGAGCCGAAGGCCTTCACTCCACCCAACCAAAACAGAAACATCATCCTTCTCCTCCTTTCCATCTGATGCTCAGTAAATCCTCTGCTTGGTTGAAATAGATAGTCGTGTTTGTGTTTTACTTGAAATAAGCTTTTTTATTCAACTGTTGATGGTTTTAATGGTTCTTTAAAAGCTACATCGTGAGTTAACCCTGTCTGTTTTTCAGTTGGACCCGTCCAGACCAGAACCTCTGTGAGTGGTGGACAAAGTACACAACAGTCTTGGGCCCATTGAGTAAAAATATTGATACTCAGTTAAATCTTTCTAACCTACAAGTAAAAGTTATTCGAACATCTATTCAAATTAAAGTATTGAAGTACTCACTTTTGAAAATATTATAATACATTCAAAAATACAAATTAAGAGTTTTGAGGAACTTCAGAGGACTAATGGGTTGGCGAACGATGACTTCTACAAATATCTGCAAGATAGGGACTATTTCCAACACAATGTAGAAGATAACTGGGAAATGGCTAAAACAAAATTTTCTTATGTGATTTTGTCTTTGTTAAAAACGGGTTCATGCAAAAAACTTGTCACTAGACTGTAAAATGGTATCAAAGCTTCTAAACAAGGTGACACTGACTACATAAGAAGTGGATGGATAAAAGCAAGACATTTAACATCTCATCTGAAGGCTGGGATCAGATCCACAAACAACGCTGGAATGCCTAAAGCTCCAACATGTGGAGGGAGTCCAGTTGGAAAAAAACTTTTAGGTACTTTGAAACTCCTGCTCAGAAAAAGTATTTAAGCAACAAAATCAGCTATTGGAGACTCAGGGGAACAAATAAGGCAAATCATTTTTGGAGCTGTCCAGTGATTACACTATTCTGGAAACAAATCAGTTATTATTTAAATAACATCTTCATGGAAAAGATCTCCTGCCTATATGAAGTCTCATATCTTGTTTTTTTTTTCATTTGAAAATTGGACTCTGAAGGATAAAAAACTGTTGTTAATGCTTGCAGCGAGCAAAAAAACAATCACCAGGAAATGGTTAAAACCTGAAATGCCTATAGTGGACGATTTATTTAGAATTGTACAGAAGATTTATATTCTGGAAAAAATTATCATTCACTGATTCCTGGGAATTTGGAAAAAACTGGTTTTAATTTTGAAAATAGAAAGTTAAATTACAAAATCTGAAGGTATATTGTAATAGACCAAGGTCTTGGTTGTTCAGCAATGTATTGGTGCAACCTCCTCATTTTGTATTGTTTTCATAAAATAGGCGTTTTTCCAGTTATTACTTTGTTTTTGTCAACATTATCAGACACAATAAAAAGAATTTTTTTTTTATTTCTTTTGTCTAATATGTATTTAGAGTTTTTAAACCATTATCTGGCATACATGCTGTTAAATGTTGAATATTTATTTTTGTTAATTTTTTATTCTGTTTCACATGTAGTCCTTTAAAAGATCTAACATCATACAATGTTTACTTTAAGCCTTAATAGAAAAAGTCATGTTTTTTTATTCAACAAACATATTTATGTATTTAAAGAGACTATTACTTTAATGACAGAACAGCACCGAAAAAACATATTGTAAATATATTAATTTTTAACAAATAAAAAGCCCTCTGACAGTGGTGACTTTAGAACCTCTAACAGATAATGTTATTTGTTAGAGGTAAAGGAAACCATTTTATAAGATCTGGTCAAAAAGACCAAATTATATTAAATCAGTACTCCCTGTGGTTTAACTTTGCCCGCCACAGGATTACATTGTCATAGATTGAATTCCAGTACTTTTATGGATAAATGTAAAAGTTTGTCTGTGCTGCCCTGGATAGTGAGAAGAATTGAACCTTCCCCTTGACTACTCACATGTTATATCTCTTTCTTTTTATTGTAAAAAGCAAAACCTTTGAATTAGCTCATGTTAATGTCCTTATTCACAGTAATGTGGTCCCTGGAACTTGGTTGATCTTACCTTGAAGATTGCTTTTCCAATAAAATGAAAATGCAAAAATAACATTACAAATTAAATTTTTTTATAGTACATTAATGTATAATTTTCAGAGTACTTTGTAACTTTCAAAAATCACCTGATGTATTGATGTGTAGAAACTCTCTGCAACAAATCCTACACCACTTGCAAAAACATTTAGCAAAAAAAATGCAGCTATTTTGAACTACTATTAATAAAAACAAACCAAAAATAAAACAGGAGTGCATTGATTCTCCTCACACTTTGACTACAAAATAAAGGTTTAAGGTTGAATCAATTACCATAAAGAAACTGCAACTCTGATTTCAGAACTCATCCTACTCCTACCCACATGGTAACAACTAATGCCTTAATAAGAATGTAGAAACTACAAATAATATCTGCCCTAAGTTTCTCACGTTTGTGGAATGTAATGCAAATCTCTAAAAAAGTGGTGTCCAAATTCAATCCTACTGGCTGCTATCTGCAATGTTGAAATTGCATTTCAAGAAAATAAAACAGCAACAGCAGATTAAAATGCTAATCTGAGCCAAAAGAAACAAATAACTAGCTGCAAATGTAGTATTTAACTGAAATGTAGTGGAGTAAAAGTTTTATGTGCTCTGTCCCCTGCAAAAAGGTAATTATTCAAGAACTGATACTCAAAAAAATACATAAGTACAGTAATCAAGTAAATGTTCTTTGAAAGCCGTTGCAATGCAGAATACTGTTCCTAATATAGTGAGAATTGTATACAGCTTTGCCAGAGAATACTTGTCTTTCTTCATTAAGTATCCTCATGGAATTTAAATGAATATGTTGCATGAAAATATGTAAATATCTTATTTACAGATGTTCTATTGGATTTATTACAGAACTTTGACTATGCCATTCTAATACATCTGTGCACTTTGTTAGAAGGTTTCCATACAAGTTGTGGCTGTGTGTTTGGGGTCATTGCATTGCTAGAAGGTAAGCATCCATCCCAGTCTAAAGTTTTTTGCAGCCTCTAACAGGTTTTCTTCCAGGAAAACTTTGCTCCATCCATCTTCCTATCAACTCTATAGATTCTTTGTTCCTATTGAAGCTAAACAACTTTACCAACATATTCTACAGCTAGGAGGGTTTATTTAGGAGGATGTCTGGTCTTAATTCTTTTTTTTAAACAGTTGATTTGTAACTTTGTTTCACATCCATATCAAAAAGTCCTATATGAACCAGGTACTGTTTTGTCAATTATGTTCTTTTTACTGACGATGCTCTTTCATCAGATCAGTCAAACATTTCACCCAGTTTGAGTAAATTAAATAATAACAAAGCTCTAATGAATCACATAGTAATTGGTGTTTTGTAATAATTTCTCCCACTAACCAGCTAGCTGTTAGGAGATCACCTCTGGCCATTGCTGCGAAGTGTTGATTACTTTGACTTGAGTCACCAGAGTCAAGGGTCAAATTTCAGCAGTTAAATTTCTTTTTTCATGCAAATTTTTGTACCTGAAAAGCTAGTTTCTGAATTTAAAGTAAAAAAAAAAAAACTAAAAAAATATTTTAATATTATATATTGAATATCCAATTACATCATCTTTAAATAGACCACATTTCTTTAATTTAACTTTTTTTTTTACATTAGGAATTTCATCTTATAAATTTAGAAGTGATTAATGCATGTTGTAAATGTTGAAGTGAAACACAACAGAACATATGTAATATATATAGTTGCGTAAATGTGTTTGTATCTAAACAAAAGGTAGATTTTTAAACGCAAGTATCTCAGTTTGGAAAAAAAAAAAAAAAAAAAAAAAAAAAAAAAAAAAAAAAAAAAAAAAAAGCTGGCCTAATGGCTACCAAAATATGTCACATGGCGACATCTAGTGGATATAAATTGTAATTGCATTTTATGTAAATAATAAAAAAAAAATAGAAAAAAAAAACAATAGAGGCTGTATTTTCTTTTTTTGTAATTGTGGTCAAATTACAGTGTATAAAAGGCGCGGTGAAAAATAAAAAGCCCCAACATTTTGCTGTAGTCAAATCATGGTTTGGTAACGTTGGAGCGCTGATATCCCTCAACCAATCACATAAGCTCTTGCTCAAACTTTAACCAATCAAAAATACCGACGTTCAGCAGCGATTGTGCAAGATTGCACTGTAAAGCCCCAATGCCACTGGATCGGATAAAGCGACCAACGGATGATTTAGAAATCTACGCTGAGTACCGGCGTTTCGGCCATCTTTACTTACATGACGTATCCAACATGTCAGCTACACATTACACGGCATGAGAGGACATAGACAGGAGATGCTGGGTCTGAATGCAGAGAATTTGTCCAAAGTGTGGTAGAACTGTCAAGGTTATATCACCCCACACGCATACAATAGGTTCATCTAATAACTGTTAATAAATTATGTTCCGACTAACGAAGACTGTGCTCCAGAAACTTCGACATGTTCGGTAAGTTGCTGTATAACGTTATTCTTTGTAGCTCGGCCGTCCATAAACACAGAGTAATGTTAGTAGGTTATATTGAAAGGAAGATAAGTTAAATGCAGCCATTGGGGAAACTTCAGTGTAATAATGCAAAAGAAACCAAGACAGAGAACACAAAAACAAGACTTAAAATTAATATTATAGAAGGTAGCACCATTATGAGATAAAGAGAGGCCGTTTAGTTATTTAAAATTGGAGGCATACTCATGTATTTAGACAAAATAATGTGGAAAATGGAAAAAGAGAATCCTGGATTGTGTTAATTGTGAATGTTTTAGATTTACATTAGTCAGTTTTAATAGATTTACATCTTTAACACTTTATTAAAATAATTTTTTCATGAATTTTACAATATTTAGATAATGTTTTAACATGATTACTTAGAATTTCATACATTTTTAAATAAACATACATTTATCTTTACATTTAAAGGAAAGCAGTACTTAATTCTAAAATAAAACCTGTATAAATATGTGTAAATGAGAGAGAACAAGAACAAGAATCTCTGGCATCATTGTTGAGGTGACTTGTTCAAAAACTTTATTTTTTCCATTCAATGTTTCTGTTTGTAGCTCTGTGACTACTTTAAACTAACAGATTAGTTCAACCTGGGATATTTTAAAATTTTATATTGTACAAGTTTAGCAGATTATTTGTTGGGTGTCCTGTTCTTTTTTCCTGATCAGATTGCTGTTAATCAGGTGAAACAATTTCTTAGTTTAGCAGCTTTAATTATTTTGGAAAGGGGGAATTTACATGTACAGTTTTAAGCTAGGTTTTCTGGTGACCTGAACAATCATATTTACATTTTTGATCTCCAAGGTTTAATGGACAACAGCAAGCATGGAGACTGGAGAGCTCATCTGCAAGAGAAAGAGCTCTGGAGTACCAGCCTGGGCAGAAAATCCACGGCTTCACTGTCAGAGAGGTAGGAAAGGCTACTTTTTATTTTTATTTTTTGGGATCAGTCCCACTGATGCAACATTTCATAGCCTTAAGCGATCTGTTTTGTTTCTCCTCTGTGTTTTTTTTTTTTTTTACATCTTGTGTAAAATGTTTTCTATTACAGTATAAGGCCTCAAATCACATGATTGAATTTGCAAACTTCTGATTATTTATGTACACCCGACAGATCTGCAACATGCATGTACTTCCTGTGTTTTTTTTATTTTTTTTTTATATGTGCGTTACTCACCCTTGCTTACCTTAGGTTGCAGCCGTCCCTGACCTTTGTCTCACAGCTGTTAAGTTAAGCCACGATAAAACTGGAGCTCAGTACCTGCACGCAGCCCGAGATGACTCAAACAACCTCTTCAGGTTGGTTAAGAGTTTCAATTGGAGTTTAGCTTATGCTTTATTTTTGAAAAGTTGAACGTTAGTTATGCTTTTACTTTTTCTGTAAATAGAATCTGAAATGGATTTTTATTATTTATTCTCGGCTGACCCTTGCTGTTTTTCAGTGTCCAGTTTAGAACAACCCCCAGGGACAGCACAGGGGTCCCCCACATTCTGGAGCACACGGTGCTGTGTGGATCTGAAAAGTATCCCTGCAGGGATCCCTTCTTTAAGATGCTCAACCGCTCCCTCTCCACCTTCATGAATGCCTTCACAGGTACAGCATTATGATTTAGTATTCTCATGTACATATATAAAATACTTGCAAATGCAATGCCTAATGGAGACACTCTATGTTGGTGTGTGAACAGCCAGTGACTACACTATGTATCCATTCTCCACACAAAATGGGAAGGACTTCCAGAATCTTCTTTCAGTCTATCTGGATGCAGTTTTTTTCCCTTGTCTAAGGGAGCAAGATTTCTGGTAAGGTTCTGCTGCATCACGTAAACTTGTTTCTAACTACTGCAGTAAATTCGCTCTAGTGGAACTTGGTTTAGGCTCTACTTTGAAGTAAAATCAAGCTGTTTATAAGGCATTATTCCATTTTTTTTATCTACTAGCAGGCAAAGCTGCAAGGATGGTATTGTTTTAGTTGGATCTTATTTGTACTATATGCGAAAAATTGAACAACTATAGACAAGATGGCTTTTAAAATTCTGAGTAACATTTTGCAAACTGCCTTTTTTCTGCCTAAACTTGCACCTTATTGGTTTAACTTTTTAAGGCAGGAAGGATGGAGGCTGGAGAATGAAGATCCTAAAGATCCCAAATCCCCTCTGATCTTTAAAGGAGTGGTGTTCAATGAGATGAAAGGAGCCTTTGTAAGTCAGTACACGTCTAATCACTGTCACATGCATTGCTGCATGCACAAATTTCCTGTGGGTTTTGGTCCAACATCTACCTAACAGTTGTAGAGTGTTTTTCTTGATGATATTTAAAAAGAACTGTTTATATAAGATTCAATATTAATGACCAAAGAGTAATTAATCTAAATATTAGAGATTGAACTGTACAGGTTTTTTTTTAAGCTGATACAGATTATTTTGATTTCAGACTAACCGATCCCTGATTTGTGCTGCCGTTATTTTTGGGCCAATTCTTGGAGCCGATGATGCCTTTGTGTGTTTACATGATAAAAATGACAATGTGATAAAAAATAAAAAATAAAAAATGAAAAACAAATCTTAATTTAAATTAAAAAATGGAAATTGTTAAAAAATCAAGCAAATATTAATGATGGCTAGCAAATGGAGGGAGTAGCGATGCATATGCCTCACTTGATCTTAAGGCATAGCAGCTATATGCACTAATAAATCTACCATTTCATACACATATGGCCTAAATGGAAAGGAAAAAAAATGCTAATATCAGGCAGCTGGTGTATCTGTCTATCTCTGCTAAATATGGACGATAAATGTCTTATTATAGTACAATAATTAAACTGTAAATTCAGGAATAAAAGGTGATGGTTAACGAACCTTTGGAGCTACTTTTCTCCCTTTTAATAAACATTTTTGCCAAATGTTTACCAAAAGTCTAGATGCAACAACAGTTTGATCTAATCTAAGCTTAAAAGCAGAAAAATCATTTCATTAATACTGTGATAACATGTCAATTTTCGTGCATGGTCTGTTTCGATCCTCAGTTGTAAAAACAAAATAAAAAAAATAAAAAAAACAGCAACAAAACAAAAGATCAAATAGTGAACGCTGTTATTTAAGCAGGCATAATGTGTAGGAGTTATCTGAGAGATTGTAAATTGTAATATTTAGAAGTAATGCAAATCTTGTATTCCTGTTCTAGTGGTTTCTTTGTTGCTGTTCAATTCCTCTAATTAATTTATAATGTGTTTAAATGAGAACTTCTCTGCTGGCTTTATTTTTATGTACTTTTTTTTTCTTTCAATCTTGCTCTAAACCCATCATTTAAAGAAATTAAAGGATTACATTTTATCTCATGAATCTTAAACTGTAACTCTTCTTATTTGTGCTCCAGTCAGACAATGAGCGTCTTTACGCGCAGCACCTCCAAAACAAACTGTATCCTGATCACACCTACTCTGTGGTGTCGGGGGGTGAACCGCTGGCCATTCCAGACCTGACCTGGGAGCAGCTCAAGCAGTTTCATGCCACACACTACCATCCAAGCAATGCTAGGTAAGGAAGTACAGGTGAAGCTCCTAACAAGTGTGTATGGTGTCAGTGAATATCCTTCACTCTCTGAAATATATCCAGGTTCTTCACTTATGGGGATTTACCATTGGAAAATCACCTGAAGCAGATCCAAGAACAGGCTTTGTGCAAGTTTGATCGCATCAATCCGAACACAGAAGTCCCATCTCAGCCTCACTGGACTAGTCCTGTAAGTACACAACCCTGCAGTATCTTTGTGACATTTGATATATTACCCTCCTTAACACACATCAACCATTGGACCATACTACTCGTATAAATCTAATTAAAGTTATGAATGGCTCTTCTGTCTCCTGGAAAAACAATCTAGAAATAAGTAAAAGTTCTTTAAATTAAGTGTATTTACTCCTAATTGGAGTAGGTAAATGAGATAGTTTTCCAATGGAATCAGTATTTTTACTTTAAAATAAGACAATTAGATAATATGTACTTGAAATAAGACAATGCATATGTGTTTTCTAATTTTAAGTGTAAATTGTCTTGTTCCTTTGGCAAATGTCACTTTTACCTCCTCAATCCAAGAACAAATGCACTTATTTTAAGAAAAAATGACTTATTTAGATTTCGATTTTTTTCCAATGTATATTTTATCATTTTTTTTTCCTTTCCAGAGAGAAGACCATGTGACCTGCGGCCCTGATGCTTTGGCTCCAGATCCAACTAAGCAGAATACCCTGTGTATGAGCTACCTGCTGGGAGAGTAAGATCCAACTTTAAGCTTTTTTCCTTGAGGAATCAAAGTCCAACTGTTAGATTTTGGTCTTGAAGTTGTTATCTCTGTTTCTCTTCTTAGCATCACAGATGCATTTGAAGGATTTACTCTCAGCTTGCTGTCGTCGCTTATGGTCTCTGGGCCAAACTCGCCGTTTTACAAATCGCTCATCGAACCCAAGATTGGAAGCGACTTCTCTTCTGTTGTTGGGTTTGTACCCAGCTTTTGAGGAAATACATTAATTGAAAATCATTGTTTGTCATGCTAGTTTTAATTCACAAATAATCTGTGAAATAAATGTTTTTATGTTTGGTAATAATCAATTTATTCCACAGATATGATGGGAGCACCAAAGAGGCCTCCTTCAGCATCGGCCTGCAGGGGATGGCTGAGCAGGACACTGAGAGGGTCAAACAAATCATCAGCCAAACTATTGATGACATCATAGAGTGAGTTTTTCTCCTACCATTGATTTAAAAATGTCTCATTGTTTCAGTCTGAAGAAAGGTAAAAAAAAATCCACAGAACTGAGTGATAAATAAATAGAAATGTGACACAATCTGGCTTTATTAATACGAGATGTGTTTTCAAAATGTAAATAAAAATGAGTTGGAAACTGTTCAGAGATAATGGCAGCAACACTAATGGCTGTTCTATGGAAACAATATTATTTTTTCGTCACTTGTCTGAACTACTGTGCAAAATAAAATGTTTCATCTTCTCTTCCGAAGGAAAACATTTAAGTCAGACTTTGAAAGCCTTTTTGGAGGCTGTGTTTTTATTGTCCAAGTTTAAAAGGAGAGTGAAGCACAAAAATGACTATGAAAAACTTTTGATTTTAATTTCTGTATGGAAGAAGAAACTTAAGAATGATTCTAATGCTTTTATTCTTGTTCACAATCTTTTAATATTTACTCATTGCCTCTATTTCTGTTGGTGCTCTAGATGTTAAAATGAAATTTAGAGACAGAACTTTGTCAAATTGAATTGAAAAAAAAAACTAGAATTTTAATATGAAGAATCTATAGGAACCCTTAAATGAAAATCAAGGACAAAAGGGAACAGAAGCTTTACAAAATAGGGTTACCCTTTTTTAAGATGGAATCTCTTTTATCCAGGAGGACTAATGCTACATTCATACCTAACACAATTTCAGCAGCAAAAAAAGATGCTTGTACACATTAAGGTCAGACGTCCAGTAGTATGTATTCGTGTGTCTGATACTTTTGCTGCTTCTGTGCTCAATGGAAGAGAGCGGCTTTGCTATATTTGTTGTTATAAGTCGGTAAAAAGTAGTTTTAATATGTTTTAAGTGAGAAAGTCCACCTCAAAACATCGTCTGTGCAGTCAGTTCACCAAGATTACGATCCTGCCTTTAAATATTATTTTACAGTCTGAGCCATGACGCAGCCCCCCACATACCAGTGGTGCGTTGTCATTGGGAATCATTGCGATCTGCATTAGAAGCGCTGTTCGTCTCACTGCCAGCTCCCTGATCAGCTTCTCTGATTGGCTGATGCAGAAAAAGTTCAATTTTTCCAACTCCAGCAGCTGCTGCTTGTGAAGAGCTTCACACGTCTCAGATGCTCAAAAGCTCATAAGGCGCTGCTTCAGGTGCTCAAGTGCATCAAGATGCGCTGCTCCTGCTGCTCTAGACAAGCTGCAGGTTCTCTTGATGCGTGTCAACCATTGACTTTACATGTAAACCTGCTGCTTCTTCAATCGTGTGGCTACAGTTAATTTGTGGGAGTAGTGTAGGGAAGTGATGTCTTTACAGTGGGGGGATTTTGAAGTTTGTTCACAATTCTAGATGTGTCCTACAGAAAGACTCATACCAAAACAAATATTGTTAAGTTAAAATTAAAAGAAATTTGCTCTAACAAAGTATTGGTTTTACTAGGTTTTGCATCTCATTGTCAAGTGACTTGGCATCGTCTCATTTCTCTCTTCAAAACGCAATTTTTAGATCAACTGTGGTTTAAATTGGAAAGGAAAATAGGAATGTAGCAAAACACCTTGATAAAATGCTTCCTTTGTTTGGATTTTGTTGCAGGAACGGCTTTGAGGATGAGAGGATTGAGGCGCTCCTTCATAAGATTGAGATCCAGATGAAACATCAGTCCACAAACTTTGGCCTTTCTCTGGCCTCTGTGAGTTCACCTCCTATCTCTAAACTTCGCTTTATATCTAGAACCCAAGGACTCTGCGTTCTATTAAGAACGTTGGTGTGGGCAGCATCTTGTTAGTGTTTTCTGTGGCTGAAATCTTGCATTTATTTTCTTTTATCTGTAAATTTCTCCACAAGTCCAGTGGGTAAACATCTTGTCACTCTCTGTGAGGTTTTAAGTGATTTTTTTTTTTTTTATAAACTTTTTTTTTGTAATCGTAACATTTTATTTGAACTAAATGCTTTTCATTTATTCCAGGGACTTTCCTCTTTGTTTTAAAACTATAACCACCAGAATAGCTGTAATAAGAGGTTTATATCTCAAGTGGAATATTCACGGATGTTATTGACAAAATAAATGTTTTAGAAGAAAATTGGTTGTTGTTTTAGAGCATTTGCTGTTTGAATGATCTTCATTTTTTGACTGCCTTCATTCTGTACTTTTTTTGTGCCTGTTAATAGTATATAGCTTCTTCCTGGAACCATGATGGAGACCCTGTAGAGCTTCTCCGAATCAGTGACAGCGTAGCAAAGTTCAGACGTGCTCTGAAAGAAAATCCTCGCTTCCTTCAGGACAAAGTCAGATATTACTTTAAGGTAAATCCTTTTTTTTTTTTTAGAACATTTTTTTCATTTCCTGCAGTGCTTACCCTTAATAGTATAAAAGTTACCATTCCTATGCTCTGAAAATGTATGCATCTTTATCATATTGCAAATAGATACAATTAAAAGAAATGTTTTTACCGTATATATGAAGGCATATGGAACTTGTGGTTTTGCATATAAAGACAAGCTTTTGATTCAATGCTTTTTATTACTTTCGATCAATGATTTGTGCAGGAGAACACACATCGATTGACCCTGGGGATGAGTCCTGATGAGGCATACCTGGAAAAGCAAGCCAAGGCTGAGGAGCAGAAGCTTCAGGAGAAGATCTCTGCTCTGACTGAAAGCGATAGAAAGGAAATTTATGAGAAGGGTAAAACCAATCACTTTAAGAAAAGCAGTTTCTTTGTAGAGGCTGCTTAATTTCTGGCTGTTCAGTCAGTTTCTTCATGATTTATTTGTTTTCTTATATTTTATTTAGAATTAAACATTAGCCTCAGTTTCCTACATGTACTTTTATAATTTGTGAAAAACTGAGCTTTGCGGCCTAAGTTAATTACCATATTTCCCGTACTATAACCCACATT